GGCAAAATGGCCAGATTCACAAAGATATTATCACAGCATTCCTAGAAGCATATGTTGGCAGTGAAATTTCAGCAACTAAAACAAACTCATGCTTATGTGTTATACACTTAAAGTCATTCATGGCATACTTATCATTGTTACTCGGATATAATAGCTTGAAAACATGCTTAAAAAATCCATAAACGACCTGCATATCACATTCAAAAACTTACAACTCAATATTCAAGTATTATGAAGGACTATATTCACATTATCACATGCTTGATACATAACAATAACATACAAGCTCTTTTGTTGTCAAACTATTCATCACATCAAACACATTTAAATGGTGCAGCATGTTCAAGTTGTTCCCATTACTAAAAATACGTACATTATGAGTCTTAAAGGATTACCTGGTAGCAAAAGAATTAACAGTAGTTCAGCAACTAAAGCAGCATAAAAACAACAGCAAAACAGCAGCAAAACCAGCAGCAAGTCTGTGTTAAAAAAACCCAAAAACTTAGAGAGAGAACCCAGAAACGAACTCTAAAGAGGACTTATGCTTTTCTAAAAGTTTGCACTCTAAGATTCACTCCCAAAACTCACCATTTCAGCTTACTTTTCATGTGTTCAACTGCTGAATATTTTTTTTTGGGACAAAACAATTATAAAAAATGCCCCCTGGAAGTGTGATGGAGTCCCCCCAAAGTGAGGAAAGGGCAGCCCTTAAATAGGCAAATTTGGACAGATTTTGGTTCACCAAATGTCTATCTGACAAAAACTGACATTGTGTGCTAAACACTGTTCAAAATCTGTCCGAAGGTCAAAGAAAATCTACTATGTCAGAAACAAAGAGAAAAAAAATTATTTCAGCCACCCTAACTAGTAAAAGTAGGCTACTAGCACCCTAACTAGTAAAAAAATAACATAAACTTCAGATTTTAACAACATCAATATCACCCTGTTGATTCAAACTAAACCAAGTATTAAAACATGTAATTAAACTTCACACATGTGTTACAAACCAATCGTAAGCAAACAAAAATAAACTATTAAAGCCAAACGAAACGCACGCTATCGCTGGAGCGATTTAATAAGACCAACTAGACAAACATAATCAAAAATGGATTAAATGAGGAAACAAGATAGAAACTAACTTTAACTAAAAAAAATCAAAAAATTAATAACGGGGCAGGATTACAATTTTACCATATACTCTCAAGCATTTCCTCACTACCTCACTTTAATCAACACAAAGCTATTTTACTACTTCAACAAGTGCAAAAACAGAAAATTTAACATTCCAGAACTTCAAAAACTAATGCTAAAATAATTAATAATAAAAAATAAAATCTGAAAAATAAAAATAAAAATAAAAAATCAGCCATGAAAAAGAATAGGATTTTACCATTTTACAATTCAAGTGGCCGAAAAAATGGTGGTATGCAAAAAGAGGGTGTTCGGGGAGGTCGCCGGAATTTGGCCGGATTTTGGTCACCGGATTTTCAGGGTGAAATTGGCATCAATAGCTAGGTCTTGAGGAGCTCTATCCATTGATGTAGGTATTGTGGGGTGGTAGTGGTTGGAGCTTCATAATTTGGGCAAAAAAGTGACGGGAAAGTTTCATAGATCTAAGATTCAAGGAGTTTGAGGGATTTTTGAAGGATTTGGTTTGGAGATATGGAAAGAGGAAGTTGTGGAGATTACATGGTGTGAATTTGGAGGTGTTTGGAGATGGTCCGCCGGCGGCGGTGGGGCGGCGGCAACAACTTGGGGGGAGAGAGAAGAGAGAGTGATGAGAGGGAAAGAAGAGAGAGGAAATAATGGGGAAATGAGGCAAATTTTTGGGGATTTTAGGCTTTAAATACCTAGGATGAAGATCAAACTAGGACCGTTGGATTAAATTAAGATGAGTGGATGAGATTGAATCTTGAATCTTGTCACTTAAACAAAACGACGTAGTTTCAAGTCAAAACTACGTCGTTTTAAGCTCTTCTTGGCAGCCCCCTTTTGGACCGGGTTTGGGCTCTTTTGGCTCAAATTTTGGGCCAATTTTGACACAATTTTAATTAAATTACACTATCCCAAACCCTACCCCATTTATCAAACCATTACTCAACTCTTAAAACCTATACATACACAAATAAGAACAAACACACACATACATATATTATATATATATATATAAGGCAAAAATTAGGCATTTACACTTATTACTTAATGAACGTGGACGCTTAAACATTTTTCTCATGCGAGCAAAAATTGGGAAGGGAAGCCTAAAAGAAAAGTAGAAGACAAGGAAACATGAATATATGGGGTGGTTGGGACGTATATGAGGAATTATGGGAGGTGGTACCCTTCTAATTGAATTGAACTTGATAAGAGATGGATTAGATGTTGAAAAAGATGTGTCTAATACTTGTAGAAACCTCTTTACCTTGTCTAATAAGGGTTTATAATGACAACTTTAGGGCAAATTGGTAGGGTTTCTCTATGGAGAACTTGACACCTCTCTGTGCATTTTACATTGATTGAAAAGACTCAACTTAAAGGGAGTCCCCTCTTCCACCCCTTACTACAAATTAGAATCTCTAATAGTTCGTCTAAGGGCATAAGCTCTCTCCCAAAAAATTAAAAGTCATCATGTAAATCTGAGAAGAAATTCCTCTGCCAATTGCCCCTACAAAGGATAAAGGCATCCAAGAAATTATTTAAGAAGGGGGGACAAACCCAACATTTTCAACGACAAAGCTTTTGGTAATCGATGGGGTTAAAGGCCTTATAATTTGCTTTAGATAATGGAAGTCAATTAAAGTAGAGACATTATTATATTAACACTAATAATAATCAGACTTGCCTTTTTCTTAAAGTCAATTTCCATTATTTTCTTTTATTCCCTCCTTTCTTTTCAATTTGACAAAAAGGTGAGTTAAAAGTCCCTTTTGTTTATTCGTTTTTCTTGCGTCATTAAGCCTATTAAAATAACTAATTGAAGGATAAACTGATGAATTGAATGATGTAGTTTAACCACTAATCATTATTAACGAGATTTTAAGCTTCCATTTATAGTAAGCAAGCCTCATGTTCTTGTCATCATCACTCAATGTCCTAGAACTTGACATGACATAAGATAATTAAGTTTTTTAGTTGTGATTTAACTAAAATGATACAGATATCCATGTGATTATGTTTCCTAACAGTCTTAAATGTCCTGTTTATTACTAGGCTGATAAGGTTATCACATCTGCAATTAATGGACCCCCTAACTGAGAATTCTTTCCAATTCAATGTTCCCGATGGGTAACCAACGTGCCATGCTTCTTTTTGTATTGAGTTCAATTACTACACACTCACACCATCTTTTTTAATATTTTTTTTTGCTTTAACGACTAGATATATATTAAGAAGAGATTTAAGAGGAGTTGTTACAATAAGGAACCGATCTGAACGATGTTGTTCATAACAAGTCTTTGCGGTGATTAAAGAAAGCAAATAAAGGCACTATGCCCCAGAAAAGTCTTCATGTTCAGCATGTCCGACCAGTTTTTGTGTGCTTGCATAATGTGCTAGACCGTGTGCGACTGAATTGGTTTCACACCATAAACAATAGTATTTACACAATTCATTCAATTAATATAACTTATTTAATAAGTATTAACTGATAACTAAAATAAATGGTAAGAGATAGGTTATACCATATTAAATTACTCGGATGATATACAAATTCATTCCATTGTCACTTTAACTAAACATAACTTACGCTTTATAATATATTTCAGTGGCAAACAGAAGACTTTTTTTTCATACACAACCCTTATGTTAAAAAAGGAAGGTTAACTATTTCAACTAGTTCATCTCCAATATCATGTACTTAAACAAATGCAACAGTAACATCAACAATCAATGATTTTCTATCGGATCCTTCTGTAAAACAGTAGACCTGCTCTTGAAATGGAGAGAAGTGATTGAAAATTCGAGCGCGGTTTTTTATATTTTTTTTCTATATAAACTGTCCAACCGACTGTCCATTTGTATAAAAGAATTATTTTCCGCTACAATCTTATCTATCAGTATCTAAACCAACCAGAGGCGGATTCAGAATTTGAAGCTTTATAACGACTCGACCAGTCGTTCTGATAACTTGCATTTCGTTATGTGATTTGAGAGTTCCAGTAGCTTCATTTGATGTATTACGACTTGCATGTGTAGTGGGTTTGACTTTCGGGAAGTTCGGGATTGATTGTGAAAGAATAATTCTCAATGCGGTAGCATTAAGTTGGAAGAGTTGACCAAGATTTGACATTTGTGTTAACGGTCTCATATTCGAGATTTGATGGTTTCAATAGATTCATATGGTGACTTTGGAGTTGAGGGTATATCCGGATTTGAATTTGGATATACCCTCAAAGGTTTTGGTTCTATTTATTGAAAGTTAGCAATTTAAAGAATTGGAGCGTTCAAAAGTTTGATCGGGAGTTGACGTTGATGGTATTAGGTCTAGATTGTTGTTCCGTAACTTGGAATAGATTTCTTTTGTCAATTAGAACTTGTATGGAAAGTTTGGTTGTAATTCGAAATGTCTAAGTGTGATTCGGATGCGTTCGGCGATGTTTGAAGTTTTGAAAGTTAAAAAAATATATTTGATCTTCGATTATTGGTTTTGAGGTTATTTCTAGTATTTTGAGCCTTTGTATAAGTTTGGTTAATATATTTAGGCTTGCAAGAATGATTGGACGGGTTCCGATGGGCTCAGATGTGTTTTGGATAGAATTTTAACTTGTTTGGAATTATTTTGAGCATAGGCATGTAATGATCTAAAGGTCCATTTTTAGTTTTATAAATCGGAATTTGATTTCGAGACTTCTAAGAATTTGATAATAATTTATAGGAATGATCTGGAATATTTGATCTAATTTCAATTAGTTGCACTTGTATTTTAAACTCAAGTATGAGTTAATTATTAAACGAGCGGAGTTGGTATAACATTGGGAAAATGAACCGAGAATTGAGTTTCGACTGGACGACTAGGTTTGTATTATTATTTGGGACTCATAGGAACAATAATCGTCGAATTTCGAGTTCGTATGATCAGGGAGTTAGAGTCTTTTTAGTGGAGGGAAAATGGTTGGTGCAAGCAGGTTCTGGTGTGCACTTTTAGCGACAGGAATTAGGCTTTTAACAACCAAATTAGCCTTTATATTGGACTATTTTCTTTACAAGCTCATTTCATCATTTTTGGAGCTAGGGAACTCGGTTGAGGCAATTTTTACCCACTCGGATTTCATAAGTATTCTTGACTCGGATTTGATTATCATTCGTGATTCCATCTTTGATTTTAGTTTTTGAATGGTGAATCTAAGAGAGAAAAATTAGGATATTTGGCAAAAAAATTTTAAAACGAATAATTGAGATTTGAACATCGATTCAGAGTCAGATATGGATGAAATTTTTATGGTTGGACTCGTATTTCAATGAATAGTTGAAATTTATGAGTTTTAAGGAGTTTTGGGAAGTGGGCTCGAGTTGATTTTTTTGTTGACTTTGCTATTTTTCGTAAAAATCGAAGCTTTGTTGTTTGAAATTGATTTCTTTAGTATTATTTGATGTTATTGAGTTATTTTGGCTAGATTTGAGTCAGTCGGAGGTGACTTTTCTGAGAAAACGTTATTTTTGAGGATTAACTTGGGCTTATTGAGGTAAGTTTCTTGGCTAAACTTGATTTGTGACAATAGTTGCCTGAATTATTGATGATGACCACGTGTCAAGGGTGGGTGGTGCACATGCGAGGGGTTGAGCTATATGCGTGCACCGAATTTCTCCATGCTTGGGGTAGCATTTAGACTATTTTTATGCTTTGGTTGAATACATGTAATTTTGATATCATGTTTTTATATGTGGTACGACTACATGACTTCGTGATTCATGCCAGAGATCATATGTAAACTTATTTCTAATAAACATGATACTCGTTATTATGTTGTGTAAACTTCGCACATGCATACACTTTGCATGCTTCACACATTTGTCCCAGAATATGTGATTTGAGATTTTATTGACTGTATACATGTGTTGTTGTATATGTTTCTGTGTTGTGGACTAGTTCGTAGGCACGTGAGTGATCCATGTGGATTGAGTGACTAAGGCACGTGAGTTTTCCATGCGGATGCTATATATTGTGGCACGTGAGTTATCCGTACAGCGTGTTGATAAGGATCCATCCCCCTAGGATCGTCCTCTCATGTATCTCTCTTGATGACGTACACATGGTCTGAGGAAAACTGATCAGTGTGTGGGTTTTGCATCTCTTCTCTAGATGCAAATACCTTGGGTATATATATGTCTTATTCGCATATCTTCTCTATATGCTAGATCTAGAACGTACACATGCCTCTTTGTGCATATCTTCTCTATATGCTATTTGGTTCGGATTTTGAGGGAAGTGTACATATCTTCTTTATATGTCTACTTGTGCACACGTGACTTTATGGTACATGCATATCTTTTCTATATGCTGAGTTGTTTACTATTCTAAGATTTGAGCATATCTTCTCTATGTGCATCGATTGGTTATATATGTGTTTCATGCTTAGTCT